CTCTCTCTCTCTCTCTCTCTCTCTCTCTCTCTCTCTCCGCGGGGAATTTCACCCGGTTCTTGAACCAGTACTACTCGCTGGTTTTGTTTCTCCCTCGTTGCTGCACCACGGATGAAGAGAGAGTTACTCGAGCCGCTTGCTTACGGACGATGGACACATATCGTGGTGAGAAATGCAATTGGTCACAATTCGATGATTTCAAAAGCGATACTACTTTATGTTGTTATTATTTATTCTTTGGGGCTAAGAACGCTTCATGTTCGCGAGAACGGAACGTCGAGTCTGAATCGTTTTATATATTATAATTACCCAAGTACGAAGACAAAAATAAAAAATATTAAGAAAAAGACGATTTTTTTAGAGATTTAAATGATTTTTTGTAAAATACATAAGTAAGCAAAAGCTTGTGCATTTTATTCTATTTTATAGTTTTTCTATTTTTTTTTTCGTATTTTTCGTATTTTTAGATTTAAATGATTCTTCGTAAAATACATAAGTAAATAAAAACTTGTGTATTTTATTCCATTTTATAGTTTTCCTATTTCTTTTTCTTCTTTTTTTCTTCAAGAAAATATGCTTTAATTCTCGGTGTAGTTCTAAGGAATTTAGAAGAAGTTGTATCGGCTCATTGTTGGTGCTTACAAAAGCGCTAAAATCGCAATTTGTTGGGAACGAAATTTCCCGTGCGGCTTGAATTTTCATTCGGGGACAGTCAGAGATGGGGGGCAGATTTTTTTTCCCAGAAATCTGGCGATAAAAAATTACAGCACGAAATGTGTACACGGTAACTATTTCGCTGCGAGTTTGGGGAGGAAGCTCGAGTGAAACTGGATCTCCTGGAGGAGAAAGATTCTCTCCTCCGTTATTTCACTTGGTCTCACGGAGTCTCGGCAACAGATACGGAAAAATGACGCGATTTTCGAAACTAGTCTGAGGATAAGCCGAGTCGTCTCGCTTGCAGAAAAATATTTCACGCTTGTGCCCCGGGGCGCAGCCGGTAACGCATATCGATGTTCCGTCGCCTTTGCTTCTCTCTGATTAATGCAAGTAAATCGCTGGACTCCTGTTGTTTGCCTGATCAGCTCCAGCAGATATTTATTTTAACGGAGCTAACCAGAAAATACGACGTCGTATTTACAACTTTCGCACACTGCGAAAAGGCCGGCAAAATTTATTATCCGAAAAAGCATAATTGTAACTTATATGGTGTTATAATTATAATCTGTGAATTGCGTATGTGTTACTACTTTCATTCGTTCGTTGTATTATCTACCGTTTTTATCAGATTCCATTCGTTTATTTATTCGTATTATTTATTTATTCATATTATTTAATGATGGGAATTGTATTTATTCGTATTATTTATGATGGAAATATTATTCATTCGTGCATACTATTTATTTATTCATATTATTCAAGAATAATAGAAATATTAAAAGGCTGTTGTTCTATCCTTATTTCTCATTTTCTAATGTCTAATGATATACACACTGCCGGTCAAAAGTTTAAGATCACAATATATACGTACATTAAGGAAGGAACTTCCGTTCTTTGAAGATAATTTCATTCGAGAAACTTTTCACATAATGTCCATAAAAAATACGAATGTCCATAAACATTAGTTAAATGCAAAAGTTTAAGAAACAAACGTGAAACATTTGCAAACGATTTATAGTGTATTTTCATCAAAAATTCCATCTTTTGTTTTTCAACTCAACTTTTACTATTTCAGTTAATTTATTTACATTGGCACATGGTGTTGCAAGATCCCCATTAGAGTTTTGTCCATTCTTTCCACGGCATCTCAAGTGGTTTAACATCAGGCGATCGA